TAGGATGATGTAAGTTCTTTTAAAAATAGCTTATTTCTTATAGGTCTCCTTTGAAATAGTTCAGAATTTACACAGGTAACCTCTAAGTGTGAGAAACTAAGTTATAAATATATTCTGCAGCAATTACTAGAGGAGGTTCAAGTGCTAAACATGTGTAAATTCAATATTGCTCCCGAGTCAGCAGGGCTTTATGGAGCAGCTGGAGATGAACAATCAGCACAGGAGATGATTTCCTGAGGCCAGCAGGTTCTGCAAGCTTGGGGAAACCATTATTTTGACCAGTTCAACCCAACAGAGGTAGAGAAACTTATGTCCTATTTTTTTTTTTTTTTTTTTCACTTAAGGCATGACCTGTGAGTCGACCAAGATCCAACTCAGGAATAAATACCCACAATGGCAGCTCGTGTTAAGGAATTTAAGTGAAGTTTAAATTCACAGACCCTACAGTAAAGCATCTCCTCCCTCCTCAGCCCCATAGAACTGGACTGGTTTTGCCTCCCTGAGCTTTCAGCCTCTCCAGAAACACACACACCAACTACACTGAAAAACTGGAATTAAATCTAGGCCTCAAAGCTTGGCCTTCTTGGTAAATGAGGAAGTCAGTGACAACAATGTCTGCTGTAGGTTTGAACACGACTAATTCTGTCAGAAGAAGATTCTGAGAGCCAGCAGAAAGTAGCTGGAGCTTTCCATGAGTCCCTGCAGGCACAGCAGCTCATGGCTGCACTGGCTCTCCCAGCAGGAAAACAGCACAGCAGCTCCTTGTACTCTCATGATGGTGCCCAAGGGTGATTACACTCAAAATCTGCTTTTTAAGCGTGTTCAAAATGTGAGTTTTTCTTCCCTCTATGCCAGTGATGTGCCAGGTAGTGAACAATCAACACCACCACATATTCCATGTGCTTTGGAGCCAAGAGTCTGAGCTCTGAGCCTGCACAATGAACCTCAGCAACACCACCTCTGCTCTCCTCCAAGAAAAGGTTAAACTGCAAGACAGACCCTGCCTACAGGCACTTAGGAACAATGGGCTGATTTTTCTGCCACCAATTATTGCCCTGGATAAGTATCAAGTATGTAGAATTATAATTTAACATACATCACTCCTAAACTTAAGGGGCTACTGACCTGTTGGGAGCAGGGAGCTGCCCGGTTATTTTGGGTCCTCTCACAACAGCGTGTGGAGAAAGGGAGGAGTATCCATCACAAAATTGACATCCTGGCTGCTTAGCTCTGCACAGCCACAGTGTCTGACAAAGTAACACCAGAATTAGGGTAACCACTGCAGCTGACAGTTCTGAAGTCAAAAGACACCACAGATCTGCTAGAATTTTATTAAAGTAGGTTGGCACTCAGTCTCACGTAGAGTGAAAAATCTGCAGCCACAGAAAGAGAGCTCAGAGCAAACAGGATTCATGAAGTGCACTAACTGACATTTCAGCAAGATCCACGTTAAAGTACTGCAAACTCAGACAACGCTGACATTTAACAGCCCACAATTACCACCAGGATTTGTTACTGTTACTCCAATGTGTAACACTGCAGCTCCCCACAGATGCCCAGCCCAGGGAGTTCTACAGAACCTACAAGGCCAGGGTGATTTTTCTTCAGTCCCCATGACACAGGCAGGCTGCTCCGGGAGGGCTTCCAAATGACAATAACTTTATTAGCTACTTTAGCACTTTGATGCAGGTCTATCACAAAAAAGCACTTGTTCAGACAGGAGCAGGTATGACTTTGATGGAACCAAAGCACCATTTCACACACCCCAGCCCCTAAAATAACACGCACACATTCAGCCTGATGCACCAGAGGCTGCCCCCACGAACTGCAGATGGCCAAGACAGACCCACCTTGGCATCCTGCGGCGGTGACTGTTGATCTAAGACTCAAAAATTGGACAGATTGAGGGCCCTGCAGTCCTCTCACAGTAATAAACACCTAAGCGGAGAACTGCTCGGATGAGCCAAAAAACCCTTAAAAGGAGCAAATGATCCTTTGGATAACCGCCGCTTAAGGCCACTTACAGGTAAAATACACGCTGACTTCTGTGCTTACACCACATCCCAGAAGGAGCCCATAAGCTCATTACGGCGCTGCAGGAAGGGATAAAAGCGAAGACCGAGGCTGCTCGGTGCTGGAGCAGCTCCAGAGCCCCGCAACCACCGCCGGAGCCCTCCCGGCGTCCCCGCAGCCCGGGGTGCCCCCGGCCGCGGCCGGAGCGGCCGCTGGGCCCGAGGAACAGGTGGGCGCCCCGGAAGGTCCCGGCGAGCGGCGGCGGGGCCGGCCCAGAGCCCCCTGCAGGCCGCGCCCGAGCCGCGGCCTGGCGTGGGGAGGCGGCCGGGCCGCCCGCCGCATGGCCGGGCAGCACCGGCCGGGCCCGGGGCGCCGAGCGGCGGCGGGGCGGGGGCGGCCGCGGCCACGGGCGGGCGGGGAGCGGCCTCCGGAGCCCCCAGCGGGGCGGCCCTGAGCTCCCGGCCCGGGGGGCGCGGGCGGGAGGCGCCGCCGGCTGCGGGACCCCGGGCGGACGGCGCGCCGGGAGCTCCGCGCTACCGCCCGCAGCGGAGGCTCCGGGGCGGCCGGGGCGGCCCCGGCGGGAGCCCCGGAGGCCCCGGGAGGGGGAGAAAGGCGTCGCGGCGGGAGCGCCGGGCGGGGGTCGGCCCGGAGCGGCAGGGGCCCGCGGGGCCCGTACTCACGTTGCTCTGCGGGTCGATGGCCTGCAGCAGCCGGTCCCTGATCTGCTGCGGGGACGGGGCCGGAGCCGCTGTCATTGCCTGGGCGAAGCGGGGCGGCTGCGGCTGCGGCCGGGGCGGGCGGGCGGCGGGGCCGGGCCGGGCCGGGGCGGCGGCGGCGGCGGCTCCTCACTCGCCGGCGGCGGCGGCCTCGGGGAGCCGGAGGAGCATGTTCGCTCCCCGCGGGGCGGGGGCGGCGCGGGGGGCCGGGGGGAGCGGGCGAGCCCAGCGCTCCGCTCCGCTCCGCTCGGGCCGAACGCGGGGCGCGCTGGGGGCAGGGCCGGCGCCGCGCGCGGCTCCCTGGGACGCGCCCGACGCCGTGACGTGCGCGCGCCGCGCCCCGGCCCCCGCCCGCCCGCACCGCCGGGGGCGCGCACCGCGCGTGCGCGGGGGAGGGCGGGCGGCGGCGGGAACGCGCGTGCGCCGTCGGGGGAGAGGGGCGGGGCTGGGGCGCCGTGAGGGGGGAAAGGGGGACACGGGGAGAGGGGAAAAGGGGGCAGTGCTGGGGGACATGGGGACAGCGAATGGGGACCCCTGAGGGGACATGGGGACAACGAATGGGGACCCCTGAGGGGACGGGGTGATGCTGGGGGACATGGCGACAGCGAATGGGAACCCCTGAGGGGACAGGGGCGATGCTGGAGGACATGAGGGCAGCAAACAGGGAACGCTGAGGGAACAGGGTCGATGCTGAGGGACATGGGGACAGAGAACAGGCACCCCTAAGGGGACAAGGGGGACATGGGGGCAGCGAACGTGGACCCCTGAGGGGACAGGGGCCATGCTGGAGGACATGGGGACAGCAAACAGGGACCCCTGAGGGGACAGGGGCAATGCTGAGGGACATGGGGGCAGTGAACAGGCACCCCTGAGGGGACAAGGGGGACATGGGGACAGCGAACGTGGACCCCTGAGGGGACAGGGGCCATGCTGGGGGACATGGGGACAGCAAACGGGGACCCCTGAGGGGACAGGGGCAATGCTGAGGGACATGGGGGCAGTGAACAGGCACCCCTGAGGGGACAGGGGCCATGCTGGAGGACATGGGGACAGTGAACAGGCACCCCTGAGGGGACAGGGGCCATGCTGGGGGACATGGGGACAGCAAACAGGCACCCCTGAGGGGACAGGGGCGATGCTGAGGACATGGGGACAGCAGGAAGAAGTTGGAGGAGAGGGCGCTGCGGCAGGGAGCCGTGAGGGGGAGAGTGGACCCCCACCAAGCACCCAGCGCTGAGAAATAAATAATGGAAATAAATAAAGGGAATAAACCCCCTGCGGGCACGGGAAGGTGTGAGGGGTGTTGTGGTCTCCTCAGCAAAGCACTTAAAAGTTGAGCAGCTCAAGATTGACTTCTGATTTCGTTATTTTAAGCAGCTGAATCACAGGTTTGCACAACTGAAGTCTTGTGGGGACAGCTCGCTCTGGTGTGTGCAGGGTGATAAAACTGCTTGAATTCCTTTAGCAGTGGAACTCCCTGTGATCATGAAGTCATCATTTTTCTAAGGAGAATAAACCCCCCCTCACTCAAAGCTGAGCCCAGGGGTGTCCAGCAGGTCACACACACACAGTGATGCCACATCCACCCTTCTCTTCACACTTGGTTTAATGAAGATTAGGCACTAAATGTTTTCCAAGAATTATACTAGTTTAATCCCTGTATTGTATTCGGCAGTATACTTTTTTTTGGTCTCATTCTAAAGAATCACATAAGGGTTAAAATATACCAGAATTACAGGCAATGAATATGTTTAAGTTTAACCAAAGGTTGTACATATTTCTGGATGGCTCAAACCACACTTGAAGGAGCCTTTCTGTACATTTTTCTGGGTTCATTACAGCCTCCCTCAAGTGACCCTTCCCCTGTCATGTTTCATTAAGGTGAAAACTTCAGTTCAACCAAGAGGGTGACTCAAGTAAAATGCTGCAGGTGCCCAACACTTGCATCTCACTACCAGGTAAAATTCAAAATACTCCCTATAACCTGTGCCAGGGGGAATAATTTCAATCAGGTCTCTTTCTCCTCAACAACTAAAGGAAGTGAAGCTATGGAAGCCCCACTAACACTTTACAGTTTGATTTGAAATATATTCAGTACTTCACTCTCTTAAATGATCTTGGTGATTCTGGGGAAAAGCTGTTGGTCAAAAAGCCCAACTTAATATAAATAACACAAGACTCCAGACAGACTACAGGAATAGCTACAATTTCCCAAAATACACCAATACAGAATCAATTACTCCTGCAACAGAATGAACATGGCATCAAATATATATTTTACCCTGAAATAGAACTTTATTCAACCAAATCCAAGATTATTCCAAAATTATCTCTTAACATTGGCTTATAGAATTATTTTTGCCATTTTTCCCCATTCAAAATCCCTTACATATTGCTTAGGAGAAAAAAAAAAAATCTTTGAAATATTAATTTAAAAAGCTTTTTTTTTTTCTGGAAAAACAGGGAGAAAGTGAGAACGGCATTTTTTTTTCTTTGAACATTCCTTTTCTACACCTCCAACAAAACAAATGGAATAGTGAGAAGTTACAAGAACACTCTGCTCAACTTTTACACAAAACTGAGAGCTCAGGAGTGTGACTTGGACAGGGGTAACTCGAGCTGGCACAGCCCCAGCTGGGACTGGTGAGGCAGAGGTTTAAAACTGGCTCCAGTTCTCCCCTGCTCTCACTCTGAGCTTAGAAAACCAAGTCAAAATTCTCTCTGAGTGAAGCTGAGATCATTTGTGTGAAGGTTGTGGCTCCAAGCCCTGGCAGAGCAGGAACCTGGAGGGGACGAGCGCATCCCAGCTCCCCACGGGCCTGGGGCTGCAGCTGGAGAGCAGCAGAATCTTTTATTTCTAGAAAAGTTGGTTCCCAGCCAAAAGTCTCTTCCAATGTGTCCATGAGTGGCTTTCAAGATCCAAATAACCTGGGGGTTGCAAAAAATAAAAATAAGGAGATTAGAAACAGCCACACCACTGCAAAGCGGATTTAATTGTATTAATTTGATGGGTGGGTTTCCACCCCACCCAAAAATGAAAACCATCCCCAAATTTCAACCCAGGTGATGTTTAATTTGAGCAACTCCCAGCACTCTGCCTGGTGCTGGCACAGGTGCTTTTCATGCACTACAGGTGCCCACATTAGCAAAAAACCCCCACGAGATCAACTCATATTTGAAAATTGAAATCAAGAAGTGAAATGAAAAAGAATTATGGAAAAAATCGAGTGGGAGAGACAGATGTGCAAAGAGATCTATGTGCAAGAAAAGTGCCAATATTTGATGTTCTGTAACCAAGGGAGAAGATGCACAGGGTTACTCACACAATCATGCAGAACATCATGAAGATATTCCACAAGGCAATGAAGATTCGGAAATACCTGAGACTCAGCAAGAACTCTCTGATATTGTCACCTAGAATCCAAGAGGAGAAGCTTTTGATATGAAAAACACACCGGAAAAGTCACATTTTCAGCGCTGCCTGAAAATCACAAGCAACTCTGAGAGGGGGGAAAAGAAAAAAACCATTAAAAAACCACAACCAAAAATTCAGATTGAAATTTGAGGTTGTAGGTGAAGGATGGATGCTCTGTTCAGTGCAGCTCTGTAAGGAGATGTAGCAAAATTACCAAAAAATTATAAAAAGGGGTCACAGTATGAAAAAGGGAAGACCAAAAAAGGCTTTCTGGGATTTTTAACCAGCAAACAGAGCTACAAGGGAGCAACACAGGTGGATCCACGTGGAAATGGCGATCAGGGAATGAGCCGAGTGTTACCTCTTATAGCACAGGTACCTACAGCTCAAAAACGCTGAAAGAAATGTGCTTTTTGTGTGCTTCTTCTCATTTCAATTTACAAGTTAATAAACCAGTTAATAAACCAGTTATTCCAGCCCCACAGCAATTCACATCCAACAAAAAGGGGTGGAAAATTTGTGTTTTGGCCAAGGATTTCCTCCAGCAAAGCCCGTTCCTGTTCCCGGCTCCGGCATCCCCTCCGTTACCGGTCGTGGGTTCCCTTGGCTCCTCTCCGAATCCCTCCGTGTCCCTCCTCCTCCTGCGGGGCAGAGGGGCCGTGTCAGGCAGGTGAACCCCAAAAAACCCTTCCCGTTCCCCTGCCCGCCCTTCCCCGCTCGCTCACAGCCTGAAGTTGAGCACGGCACCGGCGTTCACCAGCAGCGTCCTGCGGGAGAGACGGGGATGAGGATGGGGAAGGGGGAAAAGGGTCGGGGAAGGGGAATGAGGACAGAGAAGAGGGGGTTTGGGACGGTGGAAGGGGGACGAGGAAAGAGAAGAAGGAAACGGGCACAGGAAAAGAGGGAGAGAGAAGAGGAGTAAGGACGGGGATGGTGAAAGAGGTCAGGGAAGGGGTACGGGGAAAGGGTCAGGAAGGGGAAAGAACGGGAAAAGTGAGACGGGGAAGGGGAGTGAGGCCGGGGAAGCGGGTCGGGGAGGGAGAACGGGGATGGGCAGGGTCGGGAAAGGGGGAAGGCGTCGAGAAGCGAGACGGGAACAGGGTCAGGCACAGCCGGGCCGGGCTAACCCGGCCGAGCCGCCCCCGGTGCCCGGCCCCGGTACCCGCAGAGCAGCAGGTCCCCGATCATGGCTCCGGCGGCGGCTCCGGAGGCCGAGGGGAAGCGGAAGGGGCGGGCGCTGCCGCGGCCGGCGGCGCCTGCGCTCCCCGCGGCGGCTCCGCAGCGGCGGCGGCTCCGTGCCCGGACACCGCGGGGAGCGAGCGGCCCGGCCCGGGCAGTGCCGGCCGCTCCGCCCGCATCCCCCGCAGCTCCCGCACGGAGCTGCCGGGCCGGGGCAGGGAACCGAGAACCGGGGACTGAGAGCCGCGCTCCGGGGCCGCCATGGATCTGGCGGAGGCGCTGCCCCTCGGGGAGCTGGCGGCCGCCTTCGCCGCGCTGCCGGTGTTCCCGCTGTTCGACACCGCCTATTTCATCATCTCCGTCCTCTACCTCAAGTACGAGCCCGGTGAGTGCGGCCCTTGGCCGGGGGGCCCCGGGGGGAGCTCCGGTACCGGCACAGAGCGCGCACTGCCCCGCACCAACAGGTCCCGACACCTGCCCGTGCCTCTGCCCTGCCGCCTGTCACAGGCCATGTCACAGCTCCGACACCTGTGCCTAAATATAAAGCGGGAAAAAACCCCGCGAACCCGTGACTCTGATTTTGAGAAATAATCCTGGATTTTATTTAAGGCTGGATTCCGGCAGCATTGAGGTATTTCAGTTCGGTCACTTGGCTGCCACCCCAGGACTCAGAGTTGCGTTTCTGGCCAATCCCTTGGCTTGAATATTTTTGTGGCAGTACCTTCCTCCTATTTATATACAAAAGGGCTGGAAGTAAAGCCTTGGTTTTTTCCCACCCTCTGGACCATGCCCTGAGCTGTTCTCAGGAACCATAACTGACCTTGCTTTGTTTGTTCTCTTGGGCTTATCTTGCACAGATCGATAGACCTGTGCCTTGGCTTTCACCTTCTGCCATTGTCACAGCCTGGCTGTGCCGCGCTCTTCTCCAAACGCCCCTTTCCCTCTGTTTTTGACAATGCGTGCACTCCTCATGCTCTGTTTTGAGCAGTTTCCCGGTAGCTGCACAGTGACCGAAGGGAAAACCAATCCCGGGCTCGGGAATGATTTTCAAACCTCGTGTTGTGTGACCTCCGAGCCGTACAATCCACAGGCTGTTCCTGTTAAACTCCTGTAAACAAGTGCTGCCTTTCCAGGCCTGATCACTCCCAGCTGCCTTCCGGCATGGAGCCCTGAACCGAACAATTAACAGGCAGCCCTCACAAAAATAGCTTTTAAATATATGCAAGCCCAGGAATCCTCTTGGGGCTGGATAAGGCCGGGGTGTGCTTTTCCCCAGATTCCTGCAGTGCTCCCATCCCACAGTTATGGGCTGGGGATCAGTGTCAGGACAGAACCGTCCTGTTTCCCCCTTGGAGACAGCATGGCTTCGTGGAGCCAAGGAAAAACAAGTGTTACTAAATTTAAGCCTCAAGCTAAACCTCAGGTTCCTATAGAACCAGTTTCGTGTCTCGGCTGTTGCAGCTGTCTCGCTGCCACTGTGTTTTCAGCTGGTTCAAATGTCCCCGAGGATGGAAGGGCCTGGGCACTCACAGCTTTGGCTCATGCTGATCCACTTACTGCTGTTTGAGGGGTACCAGGTAATCATGTTGATATAATGTTTTTAGCATTTTCACTCTTTGTCTGCTCTCTGGACAGAGTTTTGTATCTGAAATGCTGCACAAAAAATTCTGGAGCAGTTTAAGGTGATGAAAGAAGCTCCCAGAATTGATGTTATTGGGAGGTTTCCCTGAAAAAGTGCAAAGGTGGATGAAAATTGCTACAGGAGTTTAAAAAAAGGCCATAGCAGATCCACTTACTGCTGTTTGAGGGGTACCAGGTAATCATGTTGATATAATGTTTTTAGCATTTTCATTCTTTGTCTGCTCTCTGGACAGAGTTTTGTATCTGAAATGCTGCACAAAAAATTCTGGAGCAGTTTAAGGTGATGAAAGAACCTCCCAGAATTGGTGTTATTGGGAGGTTTCCCTGAAAAAGTGCAAAGGTGGATGAAAATTGCTACAGGAGTTTAAAAAAAGGCCATAGCAGATCCACTTACTGCTGTTTGAGGGGTACCAGGTAATCATGTTGATACAACATTTTTAGCATTTTCACTCTTTGTCTGCTCTCTGGACAGAGTTTTGTATCTGAAATGCTGCACAAAAAATTCTGGAGCAGTTTAAGGTGATGAAAGAACCTCCCAGAATTGATGTTATTGGGAGGTTTCCCTGAAAAAGTGCAAAGGTGGATGAAAATTGCTACAGGAGTTTAAAAAAAGGCCATAGCAGATTGTGGGAGGAGACCACAAAGTGTTTCCAGACTAGTACAGGAGCGGGGTAGAACCCTCAAATCCTCTTCTCTCAAATAAAGATTAAGAATTCCTGTTCTATTTTTGCAGGTTATCTTATGAATGAAAGAGCTGAACAGATTGTTCATGAATTCTTGAGGGCACCTAGGTTGAAGCAGTGGAGAGAATGGTACCAGTATGCATTTTATTTTTAGACTGTAAAAAGACATTGATTTCAAGGGAAAAAAAAATGTTCTTTATGGTAGCAGAATAAAGGAGAGAATCTCTCAGCCAGTTCATAAACTTCTAATGACTCTGTTCACATGAGACCTCTGGGGGCTCTGCAGGCTGTGATCATTTCTTGGCCATCTCTGGTGCTTGTTTGGGTTTCACACTTTTCTATTTTGTTTTACGAGCGCTTTTCTTTGAGTTGCTTTGTGGGAGAGCACGCACCTCCAGCCTCTCTCTTCCTGGGCCTTGAAGTTCCTGCTTCATTGCTAGATCCATCTTCTCACTGAGATGGCCTTGAGAGGGTCCCTTCCAGCACAGGTGACTCTGTGATTCCCAATTTTTTCCACAGGAGCCGTGGAGATGTCCCGGAGGAGCCCTTTTGCCTCCTGGCTCTGTGCTATGCTCCACTGCTTTGGGAGCTACATCCTGGCTGATCTGCTGCTGGGAGAGGCACCCATTGCCTACTTCAGCCACAACTCCAGTGTCATCCTGGCCACAGCAGTGTGGTGAGTGCCCTGCAGCCCTCCTGGCGTGGCACAGGCTGCAGGGAGGCGTGGGGGAGATGTTGGGACACAGCTCTGATGCCACTGGGATTAACTGGGGACAGCAGAGGTGGGCTGAGGCTGTCTCTGAGGCACTCCTGGCTCTGGTTCCCAGTTTCCCTGCCCAGTTGCCTAATGCTGTGATTATCTGGGCTGGGGCACTTCTATTCATAGCAGCCACTGCTGAGCCAGGAGCAGCAGCACCCACGGATCCCACACAGGGCAAGGGGTGGCACATCCTGAGGGTTTGGGGGCATTTTATTTGTTGTGTTGGTGAAATGGGCACAAATGAAGCTTTAACTTCCCCAGTGTGTGTGGGTTGCAGGTGCTTTTGCCTGGCAGAATGAGCATTGCTGGGAAACACTGTGAATGAAGTTTTCATAAACAGAAGTCTCTGAGTAAATCCCTCAGCCATCTAGTTTTCTATACTTGAGAAAAAAAAGAGAAATATCTTCTTCCAGGGCTGAAAAATGTGGCAGTGTTCTGGAAAAAAGAGTGTTTGAAATCTGTCCTCTGTCTGTAATATCATTTCAGTATATTTAGCTTCTTGTTCTGTATGAGCTGATGCTTCTGGACCATACAAGACACAAACTTCTAAAAAATTCTGAATTAAAATTATTGGGTTTTATTCAAGATGGAGTGTTAGTAGTGAGGGCTCTCTGAGCCACTGAGGGCTCTATAGCTCTTGCTATAGAGAGGCTTTGTTGCATGCTGGTTTCCTTTCAGGATTAGCTCTGAAATCAGGAATATTTTATTTTTAGGTTTTCCTTCTCCTTCACCCGCCATTATCCAATCTGCCACCGTCTGCACATCCCAGATCAGAACCAACCCGTGCTCTTTTTGCAGGTACCTGACATTCTTCTGCCCCATGAACCTCTTCTACAAGTGTGTCAGCTTCCTGCCCGTCAAGCTCATCCTGGTGGCCATGAAGGAGGTGGTGCGGGTGCGCAAGATCTCGGCCGGGGTGCACCACGCCCACCACCTCTACCACCACGGCTGGTTCGTCATGATGGCCACGGGATGGCTCAAAGGTGACACCCCAGAGGCCCCAGGGAGGGCTGGGACGGGCTGGGACGGGCTGGGGGCAGCTCAGGAGGAGCAGCAGGGAGGGGGTGGGTGTTGGGTTGCGTGCCCGATGTTGGAAGGAATGAGGAGTCTGACTCCGTGTTCTTAGAGGGCTAATTTATTATTTTATGATATATTATATTTAGTATATTATATTAATTATATCATATATTATCATGTATAACATAACCATATATAATTATAATATATTTATGATAATATATCATACCTATATTATATATAACATATTTTTACAATTATAATCTAATATAATTATTATATTACATTATACTATATTATACTATATTATATATTATTATAATACAATTATTATATTATTATAATGTATAATATCTGTATTAGATATAATAAATATTACAATTATTTCATAATTATTATATTACATTATACTATATTATACTATACTATATATTATTATAATACAATAATTATATTATTATAATGTATAATATCTATATTATATATAATAAATATTACTATTATGTTATATAACATCATATATCAATCTTATCATATATTATCATGTATAACATAATGATAATATATAATTATAATGTAATTATTATAATATATAATATCTATATTATATATAACATATTACAATTATAATTATATTATACTATATTATATATGATTATAATATAATCATATTATTATAATGTATAATATCCGTATTCTATTATATTATATTTATTATATTATATTTATTCTATTTATTATATTATATTATGCCATGCTATGCCATGCCAATGCTATAACTATACTAAAGAATAGAGAAAGGATACAGACAGAAGGCTACAAAGAAGGATCATGAAAATCCGTGACCTCTTCCAGAGTCCCAACACAGCCTGACCATGATTGGTCATTAAATTAAAACAATTCACATGAAACCAATCAAACAATCACCTGTTGGTAAACAATGTCCAAACCACATTCCAAAGCAGCCAAACACTGGAGAGGCAAATCAGATAATATTGTTTTCCTTTTTCTCTGAGGCTTCTCAGCTCCCCAGGAGAAGAAATCCTGGGGAAGGGATTTTTCAGGAAATGTGAGCTCAGGTCCCACCATGCAGGTGTTTGTGCTGCCTTGCAGAGTGGTTGAAGAGCTGGAGTCAGGAGTTCTTTATTCTTTCTCCTGTGCTCTCTGACCTCACCTGGGTCTTTTCAGGGGGTTCTGCCTGTCAGTTTTCCTTTAAGGTTCTGCTTGGAGCAAGCACTTGAGCATCAGTAACTGCAAGAGGCAAATGCCTTTTCCCTGAGTCAGGATCCACTTGGTAGAAAGTCAGGGAAGCGTTTGCCCTGCTCTGTTGGCTTAGGCTAACTTCTAAATTTGGGGAGAATGTCCAGAACCCTTTGTCCCCTTGAGGATCCAGAGCCCTCTGCTGTGGCAGCTCCAGCTCTGACAGGTTTCTCTGTCTCTCAGGTTCTGGTGTGGCCTTGATGTCAAACTTTGAGCAGCTGCTGCGTGGGGTCTGGAAGCCTGAAACAAATGAAATTCTTCATATGTCCTTGTAAGTCAGCAACCTGGAAATTCCCAGCCAGGTGAAGAATGGAATGAAAGACCCAGTCAGGGCTGGGTGCAAACCTTGCAGAAAACCTCTTTCTTTCTCTTGCAGCCCTACAAAGGCCAGTCTGTATGGTACAGTCCTCTTCACCCTGCAGCAGACTCACTGGCTCCCCATCTCTGAAGCCAACCTCATCTTCTTTTTCAGCATGTTCATGATAGTCTGCAAGGTAAGTTTATAGCAGCAAAAGCCAGAACCTAAAGTGGGAATATTCACCTTCCTGAGCCACCACAGGATTCCCTGCCTGTAGGATCTGCTCAGGAAATTCAGTGTTAAATTCTCCATCACACAGGCAGCTCCTTGTGCCTCGAGTGCTGCAGCAGCAGGGACGTTCTCTGGGTCAGGAGGATGCTCACTGGGCAGGGTTTCCCTGCTCTCTGGGATCTCTGAGTGCTCCTTTTTGCCTGGCAGGTTTTCATGACAGCCACTCACTCCCACTCCTCACCCTTTGCTCCGCTGGAAAACCTCATCTGCCCAGTCCTCTTTGGCTCTGTCTCCAGTGGGCACCCAAGCCACCACCACGACCACCACGGGGCCTCCCATGAGGTTTCCCACCCTCCTCCTCCTCCTCCTCCTGCCAAGTCCAAAGAGGAGCTGAACGAAGGCACCAGGAAAAGGAAGGCAAAAAAAGCTGAATAAAAAAAGCAACGGCGCAGAAAATAGGCCAAGAAAATTCTTCCAGAGCTAAGTCTCAAAGCCACCTGTGACCTCCTTTATGCTCCAGTCCTTCTCTCTCAGACTCCAGAGGAGAGGTGGAAGCCAGGACACTGCCAGCTGGGTCCCTGAATTTCATTTTTGCTCTCTGTGCTGCTGCTTGCTTCTTGGTCTCTGCCTCTCTCTATTCTGATCAGATTTTCAGGGATTTGGAGGTTTGTGCCAGGCTGGTAAGTGGGTGCCACTTCCCAAACTGTCAGCAAATCTGATGCAGCATTTTCAATTGATGTAAAATCTTTCACTGTGTTTATTTATGAATGGGGGGAATGGTTTGTGCTCCTGCAACTCTTCAGTTCCTTAGAATTTTCACTGACCTTTTCAGTGTCTGCCAAAACAACAAACTGTTAAGACACAATGTGAAAATCAGGTTTCATACTCGAGGAAATGAAATGGCCTGGTATGAGCCTGCTCTGGTTTTTCCCAGCTCCCACAGCTGCCATATCTCCAAATAATGTGACATTTTAAATGCAATAATGACATGGCCTTTGAGCCAAACCCTGTTCACCTCGGTTCCCTCTCATTCTGGTGGTCAGGACATTCATTTGCTCTGCCAAGTCTGTGTTTGCAAGAGCCCTGAAGCTGTGGAGTGCTCCCAGTGCCACGTGTTGGCACTGCCACCATCCTGGGCTGTGTGTGGCATTGCTGGGTCCCACCCCAAACCTCAGACTCTGGAACCAGGGGAGAAGCATGGCTCTGCTTTGTTTGTAATCCTGTGGGATACAGGAAGAGTGGGTGTGAGTGTAAGTATTTATTATTATTTATTTATAATTGCCAGGGCACCTAAGGCAAGGACCTGAATCTGTTTTGTTTTTGTTTTATTTTGGCATTGCAATTGGAACTTTTAGTTGTGGCCCTGAGCCCACAGCTGGTTTGGGCTTGCAGTGATCCTGGAGTGCTCCAGGACAGCCTGAACACTCCCTGGGGGCAGGAAAAAAACCTTTCCTATATTCTGAAATTCACATCAAATAGGCTGAAACAGGGCATTTCACACCAGCTGATGAAAAAATACCTTAAAGGGCTGATCACAATCAGCTGAAAATCCTGATTACCTTCTGTAGGTGCCCTGGGGCCAAAGTGCTGGGCTGTGGCTGCAGCTGGTGCCCAGTGAGTGAGGAATCTGATCTGCCTTGCATGGCTCAGGAGGGTCTGGCAGCTCATTCCTGTTCTGGCTTTTAGAGTAGTCCAAAGCTGTTCTTATAACTGATTTTCCTCTTACAAATGGCACCTTCCAAGGGCTGGGATCCCCACAGGGACAGTGGCAAGCCTGGGGATGTAGCACTGGGCATTTTCCATCCCTGGCACTGAGGTTTGCTGCTGTTTCCATTGCAGCTGGGACTGGAAACAGGATTGGAGGGAAGAGAGGGTTTGTGTGTGTGTGTGTGTCCCTGTTCAAAGCTGCAGCTGATGGTTCATTAAAGATAAGAAACCCTCCTTGTGTGCAAGCAGGAGGAAAGGTCAAACGTGTGGCTTTGGGGTTTGACAGTGCCTTAATGTTGTGAGTGTCCCTCCCCTTCAGCAGAGAGCAGAAATTCTGCTTGCAGCTCTGTCTGGTCCTGCAGATGCTGCTCTGCTGGAACCTGATGTGTCACAAGCATGCACGAGACTGAATAAATGTTTTATGAGATGTCTGATCCCAGGGGAATTTTGTTTTATAAAAGCTGTCAACAAATAAAAATGGTGAAGTGACTCTTGATTGTCCAGTGGCACCTGAGGAAATCTCTGTGTTTGCTTGATACCCTTCCCAGCCACACAGGAGCTCTGTGGCACCAGGAGCTGGGGACAAAATCATTGTGGTTGAAGGAGGAGATCAGAATTCATGTCCTACAGCTGTGTCTGGAACTGTTCTAAAGGGAAGTAACAGGGTAAAAGGGGTTTGTGGTGTTGTTCTCAGAGCAGACAGCTTCAGATTTCAGGGAAGGAAATGAGGAAATTGGAAATTTGAGAATAAATTAGAAATTCCCTTGAAAATTCCCTTGAAATGTCCTTATTCCTTGAAAAATGAATTGCCTCCTTTGGTGTTTATACCAGTTGTCTCTATTTTTCCTTTTGTCACTGGAAGAGGGAGGAGGGCATTCACCTGTGAATGGTAAATATACACACACACACAGTTCCAGCAGATTTATGTGGAGTATCAGCATTCAAAACTGGAAAAAAAAATCAAAATTCTCTGCACAAGTGAATATTTAGTGTGGCTGAATATTCACTGCTTCTCTGCTCTCTGAGTGCAGTCTTTGCTCTTCAGAGTCTTTGGACCCTGAATCAAATCAAACTGAGTCAAATCACAGCTTCCAATCAAACACAGAGAGAAGAAATATTCCAGAAGAGGTTAAAATTCAAGCTCTGAACACCTTCAGAGTACCCAACAGGAGCAGGATTGATTTTGAGAAGACAACAGCCTCAGAGGAATCACAGGTTCCATTTGGTGAAGCCTTTCCCAGTGAGAGAAATGGAACTTGGCTTGAATTTCCATGGCTCAGCACGGCCAGGCTGGTACAATTCCAGCCTGCTGTCCTTCAGCCCAAGAAGCAAAAATGGGATTTGAAAAAGCTGCACATTTTAACCACAGCTGTGGGGACACAGAGCTGCTCCAGCACCTCTGGAAAGCCCCAGCTGCCCTTTCCAGGCCCTTCCTTCCTTCAGGCTCTGCTCCAAAGACAAAGAAAATGGGACTGGGGTGTTTCCTGAAGGGATGGAATAATGAATTTCCACAGCTCAGAGGTGGAATGATGAGGAAATCATGGCCCAGCCAATCGACCCAAACAAGAATCTGCAAAGCCTGGTTATATTTTGAAGGGTTTCTCATGTCCCCCACAGATTTAACTCTTAAAATGTTCATAAACACTCCTTAATTTAGAGCAGATGAGAGTGTAAATTGCACTGGAAAAGGGAATTTCCATTGCCATGATCCACCAATGGAAAAGGGCAGTGAAAGGCACTAAAAACCAGCTCAGAGAAGAATGGGTCCCAATGTTTCAGGTGATCTAACCATTCAGGTCAGGGTTATTTTCCTCTCTGAACAGCCTGATGAGAGCAGGCTTTCCCCATCCTCTGAAGAATCCCACGATGTGGAGATGAATAATTTCCCATTAATTATTCCTCTGGAGTCTCTGGCTGCCCAGAACATTCCCAGCTCCTGGGACAGGAGCCTGGCAGGGCTCAGACTTCCATGGACAGACGTCATTCCCTCCAGAGATGTCCTGATCTGATAACTTCTGATACTGACTCCAGTGAGACCAGGCTAAATTTAGCAGTAGGTTTAATCCTCAAAGAGGCCCTGGGTGCCTGCTGGGAAAAGCAAATGGTTCAGTTGCTGTTTCAGCATTTCATGTGGATTGACAGGTTTCCCTTTGCTGTTGCAGAGCCAAACCCGGTGCCTGCAGCTTTTCCCTGGTGGCAGATCAGCTCCACAGATAGGGAAAGCTCCACAGGCCTTGTGTATTTGTAATTTAAAACAAAGCACCAAAAAAAACCAACAACAAACAAACCCAGGGGATCATTTTACACAGAGCATTAATAATTCTTCACATTAAATGAAGTAACAAAAAGAGGAGGGCAAAGGAAAGAATTTCAGAAAGGGCAAAGCCAGTGCAAGAGCGCCAAGCCAGAGCAAGCAGCGTTCTTAGTTTCCACTTTTCCTTTTGTTATTGATGCCAATATTTACATTGTTGCCCGCTTTGTCCAAAGAATAAACAAATTACATAATCCAGCAAAGCAGAAAGACCCAGAGGATGAAGCTGGAAGTTACCTTGGCAGTCTCCTGAGCTCTGCAGAAGTTGTTCCTTTTAACACTTGCCAGGTGATCAGCTGCCAAATGCCTGCTCCTTCCTGCAGCCTGTTCGTGGTGCTTTAAGGGCACAAAAAAGCATTAAAAATTAGAGCTTTGTGTGTTTCAGAGCAGCACAGCTTTTTCTGGCCCTTGGCTATGATTCTCTGTTTTGTGGTTCTTGTGCTGTTTTTTAGAGGATGTACCTGGCTCCTGTGAGGGTGCTAAGGAAGGTAAATCTGGGATAAAATGGCATTTCCTACGGCCTTAAATTTAAATTCTTTGTCCAAATAACGAGAAATCAGAATATACATCTATACAAGACTCCCCAGAAAGGTCTCCAAGGGAGTTTGGATTTAGTGTGAGCTGCTTCCATCCAGGAAAACAGGACACAGACAAGGCAAACCACTCACCACGGAGAAATTCCACTGTTGGTGCCAAATCCTCAGCGCAGTGGGTTGATATTTTCCTCTTTAGGATGCTCTCAGTATTGGCCCCGAGGCATCTGGTTCATCCTGCGTGCCCAGCAAGGAAATGCCAATTAGAGGGGTTGGAATTTCATCAGACACCAACACGGCTTGGTGAACACCCCCAGAATTACCTGGCAGCGAAGGGTTTCATGCTGCTCCGAAGGCAGCGGGCTGTGAACAAGCTCCTGGGGGCTGGTGGCTGCAGGAACAGGCAGAGAAATCCCTTCCCCATCGTGCCGGAGCCCACGCTGCCATCCTGAGTCACAGCTGCTCCTGGCTTCACCTCTGCGGTGACATCTGCGACAAAAAGATGTTGATGGTGCTGAGATCAACAGTCGGGAGCGCCTTGGAGTCTGGGCTGTCTCTCACACTCGTGCATTTGCATCTTTCACACCTTATCCTCACGGAAAAAATGACATTTTTATTTCCTTATCTGCTCTTCCTTTACTTGCCAAAAGCGAATGTGGGGAGGGATTTGTTTGGTTTTTTTTTTTTAAGGAGCTTGTGAATGTCAGGAAGAATCGGTGTGAGACGGTGATTCCATCTTAGCCTTAGGGTACAGGTAGGCTGTAGCCCTGGAATGCAGGAGAGCAGGTCTGAGATGTTCAGAGGCTGCAACATTTTCATAGCCTGAGGAAATCCAGAATGTCCCCGGAAAAGATTTCCTTGTCTGATTTTGTTTGGTTTTGATTTGCAAATTACAGCGAGCTCCCCCAAACCTCGGCATTCCTCCAGAGACCGAACTGCTGCTGCCCCGTGATCCCAGCTGTGAAAAATGCGAATTTTATGGTTGGCTTTTCGCAAATATTCAAATGAGTATTGTATGTGTGGTGTTGGAAAGTGATGCTGTATTAATTCTCCTAAGTAGTGTGGTAAATATTGTTTTAGGTTATGACAAATTGTTAAAATAGAAACGTTGCTATGTAGGATAGTTCTTTTTTTAAAGAAAGGACTCGCACTGAGATAGCAGCCACAGGACACCTGAATCTTTCAGAGAAAGGGAATTTATTGCTCCATTATCAGAAGAAATGAACTTCTTCCCACCTCACTCGGGCAGGATGAGGCCGTTGGGATTATGAGGAAGAAGCTGACACTGCCCAGACAGAATCCTGTATTCAAATGGAATTTATGCATCATGTATGAGGGGTATGAATATGCAACAGGCTGTTGTTTTTAAGGGTTAATCCTCTGTTAACTGTGTCCTTTTTCGGGCTCCTGATGCCCAGACAAAGGTACCTGGACTGTCCGTAACTCTATTTGTTGTCTCATATTGTCCTAATCCAAATTGTCCAAATTATTATTACTCAAATTCTATTACTATTTTTATAACCATTTTATTACTTATTAAACTTTTAAAATTTTAAAACCAAGAGATTGGCGTTTTTCACACAGCCCTGGTGCTCCCCAGAGGTTCCTGGCAGCTGCAGCATCCCTCAGGAAGGGCCATTTTCTTCTCTCCTTCTGATTTCTGTCTTGCTGGGCTCTTTGAAAATGATTACATTTTTATTTTCTATCTTTCCCCAATGGCGCTGGCAGCTCTTGGCATTCCCAAAAAAAGCTCTGCAGGCTTGGGGACCATTGTCCCCACCTGCCTGATTTTCTTTGTGTGTGACCGGAATCGATGACAACGGCAGAGAGATGCAGAGGGAGAAGCAGAGAACACATCCCAGATTTTGATGCCTTGAAATGCAGCCTAAAAATCCATCTTCAGAGTCCTGGTGTTGGCTGAAATTAGGTTTAGAATGATGTAGGTTAAACCCCCATGTAGGCTCTGTGCTGTTTGTCTGTCTCTCTCGAGGTAAGGCTCCCTGCCCGTTTGATTTATGACAGATTAGGATCTTGGTTAATCTCCTCTTATTTGGGTAGATGACTGTGGAGATTCATCAAGTATTGTCTGCAAAACAAATGCAGATTTCTAATTTTTCATTAATTATTCCTCTGTATGCCAGAGGGATCCAGCCAGGGATAGAGACAGCAGCCTCTGAAATCTCATTTCATGAGAGAACCAGGAAAAGCACAGCAGCTGCTCTGGCTGATACTGGTTGTCTCCCACATGCTCAGTTCAGTTTCCTGAAAAAGGCAAAAATCCACAGAAATTATAGATTATGGGCTTTTTTGATGTAAGGAAAATTAATCCACAAACACCAGGGGTTTATGTCCAAAAAGGAGACAGAGGAGTCCTTTTAGTTTATTTGAATAAAGGGAGAGGCCATGGGGCATTGCCCTGGGATCTCAAATTTTTGGAGGGTGCAGCCCCCATTTTATCCCAATTTCCCTTCTCTCTTTCCCCATTTCTGAGGTACTTGAGAGGTTCAGACTTCCTGATACTCTTGATACCAAAGATCTCCCTCTAATGTATAACCCTCCCTTTTAATTTTTAATTCTTACTGAATTTAGGGATTTTTCTTCCCCATTGTTTCTTTCATCTTTCAATGTCTAATTTCATTTATCAGCAAACCTAAAGTTTATTTGT